ATAACTGTTGTTGCTATCAGTGTAAAGGAACTGACCAATGACAACATAACATATGTTGTTAACCGCTGCTGTGTTGTCATGTACATTGTTTTCCTCATTTTTTCAGGTATTTATTGACTTGTTAAAAGAAGCTAGACAAGCGACTAAAATTAATGAAGGGTGAAGTGACATCTGTTGTGCCAACTAACATTGGTTGAAATAAATGTATCTTTTGCGAAGGAGAGAAGGATTTGCCATGCCCAGCTGAATATGTCGATAGATTTGGTGAAAAGGGATATAACATTAGCAAAAAACCTTGTGGAATTCCACAAATTGGATCAATTGCCAACCAGAGTGGAACTCAATTGGCTTGCCGAAGGTGATGGTCTCTAAGCAATATTCATGCGAAGACGTGCAAAGTTCTATTGACTCTGTTCTTCAAATTTCAATGATAAAAACCTCAGACGGGTGTCAAAGCGCAAAAGCAGTGAAGCTGCAGAAGTACCAGACAAATTCACCCAAACAAAAATGTCAGACGAGAGGCAAGCCATTACGCAATGCTTCCTCAATGAAAGTTCATGCACACATGAAACAATGTGCACAGAACCTACAAGATGAAAAGATAAAGACGGAGCTGAGTCAGTTAAAGGTCATAGCTCTTGAGGCTAAGTATCACTCAAAATGTCTGGTGGCCTTTTGTAATCGTGACAGACCGAGTACATCTAAAAAAAAAGAACTGATCCCACAGCTGATGATTGTAACACTGCATTTGCTGAGCTATGTTCGTACATGTGAGAAATCCTTGACAATGATGAGTCTACACCTGACTTCCAGTTATTTGCATTTAAAAATCTCTATCTGTCGAAAGTCCAGCAGCTGAGTTGCTTGAATGAGGATAAGTCACCAAGTTTCCATGCTTATAGTTTCAAGAACAGTCTAGATATCTGAACGACCTTCTCATAAGACCTAATAATTTATTTGCCTGATTTACCTTCTTCTCGCAATGGCCCGAGAACTTCAGCTCATTGTCAACATACACACCTAGGTTCTTTTCACATTCAGTCTTAATTAATGCAGTTTCTTCATTCCTTTGGGACATATGATACGCCCCCTTATCGTTGGTATGTCCCAGGTGCATCCTCTTACACTTCGTGACATTGAATCTTAGCAGCCATTTCTTCGACCATTCTTGGAGCTCACAGCGATCCTTCTGCAGCTCTTCACAGTCTGCTTGGATCTTAATTTCTCGAAATAACTTGGTGTCATCAGCTAACATTTGCATGGAGGAATGTACAATTTCAGGCATGTCATTTATGAAGCAAACAAACAACAGCGGGACCAATACACTGCCCTGTGGTAGCCCGCTTGTGACGGGTACACATGATGATTTCGTGCCTTTAATCACCACACACTGCTTGCGGTCATGTAGAAAATCTTATATCTACGCTAGAACATTTCTGCGAATCCCGTACCCTTCCAGTTTAATTTGAAGCTTTTCATGGGGTACACTGTCGAAAGCCTTGGCAAATTCTAGGTATATATTGTCGATGTTACCATCCCGTTCCAGAATATGGGTCCAAATATCCAGTACCTTGAGTAATTGTGTTAAGCAGGAGCGCCCCGGCATAAAACCGTGTTGGCAATCCTTTACAAGGTTGTTTTGTAGTAGATGTTCCATCGTGACATCTCTGATAATGCTTTACATACTATGCTGGTCAGGTTCACCGGTCTATAGTTGTTCGTGGGGTGACGATCGTCCTTCTTGAAGATAGGACTCGCATAAGCCATTTTCCAATCACTGGGGACCTTTTGTTCATCCAGGAATTTACAAAACATGATCTTCAGGGGCTCGGCAAGCTCTTTGCACAACTCTCTTAGCACTCTGGGATCCACCATGTCAGGGCCGGGACTCTTTTGAACATTTAGCTTTGACAGTTTATTTCTTATAACCTCTTCTGTGAACACAATGTGGGTCAGTGCTGTGTCGAACTGTCTGTCCTCAAACGCAGGAAGGTTAATTGCATCCTCTCTTGTGAACAGAGGAAAAGAAGCTGTTCAATGCCTCAGTTTTGTCCCGGTCAGAATCTGCGTAACTACCATCTTCAAGCCTCAGGTGTGATACTCCTACTCGCGTTTTTAATTTCGACTTTGCATAGCGGTAAAACGCCTTTCATTTTGACTTGACCTCGCTTGCAACCAGCCTTTGGAACTCCTTTTCAGCCCTTCTACACTCTGCCTTTGCTTGGTTTCTGGCTCTTGCATACATCCTCCTGTCTTGCTCATCTTTTGACCTAACCCATGCCTTGAATTTCTGGGTTTTCTTCTTAACTTTGTCGACCGCAGCATGGTTCATGTGTAGGGATCCCCTCGTATTCCTAGAGGCACTGGGTTTGGTCTTCGGTATATGTTTATCGATCAAATGGGTCACTTTACTAGCTATGATATTCAGCATAGTGTCTGCTTTCTTGTGCCTTAGTGAGTCAGGCCAGTGGATACCCCTCATTCCCTCCCTTATCCCGTCGTAATTTCCCTTGTAATATTTGCACCTTGGCCTGGCTTTGTCATGAACTAGGTAACAGATAAATCTGAATGACAACATTACATGGTGGCTGGTGCCAACGGGGGCTAGATGTTCCAGTTTGGCCACCATACCCTCCTCGTTTGTTATGATGAGGTCCAGTGCCTTGGGTGTTTGCTCCTCTCTGTAACGTGACGGGTCTTTAATATGCTGGAACAGAAAATTATCTCAGAGTTTCTACAAAAAGAGTAGCAGGGTTATTTAAGTCATTTGGCGTGAACTCGTTTTTCTAGTCGATGTCTCCACAGTTAAAGTCCCCCATGATAAGGAGGTGGCTAGGGTTGAGCATCGTTGCGTTGTCTATTAAGGCTCTTAAGTTCCTTTGATTTAGTAAGCTACAGTTTGGGGATCTGTAGATACATCCGATAATAAGTAAGTCTCCTCCATTTAATTTAATTTTACACCACTTGGATTCTTCAAAAACGTTCTCTCCCTGTACCTTCGCCTGGCTGGCTCTAAAAATGAGCTGAAGTTCTCGGGCCATTACGAGAAGAAGGTAAATCAGGCAACTAAATTATTGGGTCTCATAAGAAGGTCATTCGGATATCTAGACCAGTGGTTCTCAACCTTGTTTGCCCCATGCACCCCTTTCACCATATGTCAGAATGTCATTCCCCCCTCCTTTCCAAGATTGTCTGCCTCAAAAAGTGCATTCCAAATATTATGCATATAATACTGAAAATCCTTTATTTTTTCCATATTAGTATCAGTTTCCCCCCCCTGAAAACCTGAGGGGGGGAAATTCTCCCCTGGTTGAGAACCCCTGATCTAGACTGTCCGTCCCTCGTAACGATCTTCAAGAGTGAAGTGCTTCCCCATCTGGAGTACTGTCACCCCGTCCGGTCCCCGAGATATGCTAGGGACTGTCAGTTGGTTAAAATGTTCAAAGGAGGGCCACCAGACTGGTGCCTGCACTTCGGCACCTCAACAACCCTGAGAGATAGGAGCGCCTGAACTTTTTGTTACTTTTATCCTCTTCACCACTGATCGGCTCATTAGCCACTTGGGCGATCGGTCACGTCTCTTATTACTTTTACTTTTCTTTTTATACTACAGACGGGCAAGGGGTGACCTAATTGAGGTGTATAAGCATCTCAAGGGGCACTACTCAGTCGAATGTCCTTACTTGGAGCTGGCGGACGCTCTCCCCCAAGGGGTCACAGCTCAAGATTGAAGAAGCCGCAGCTTCAGAAAACTGTAAGGGGTAACTTTTCCGGAGTGAGAGTTGTGAACTCTACCAGAAAGTGTTGTGACGGCACCGAGTGTGAGCTCTTTCAAGACCAGACTTGACCAACACTGGAGCAGGTTCAGGTTCATTCAGGAGCCGGTGCATGCCCAGTACTAGCCAACAGTGCGTAAACGTGACCGATTTCCCAAGCGGCTAACGAGCCGATCAATTGGTGAAGAGGATAAAAGAAAAAGAAAAGTAACAGAAACGTGACCGATCGCCCAAGTGGCTAATGAGCGGATCAGTGGTGAAAATGATAAAAGTGAAAGTCAAAAAGTGACGGATTGCCCAAGCGGCTAACGAGCAAGCCGATCAGTAGTGTAGAGGATAAAAGTAAGTAAAAGCACTGTTGGCAAGTACTGGGCATGCACTGGTCTTGAAAGAGCTCACACTCGGTGCCGTCACAACACTCTCTGGCGGATTGTTCCAAGAGTTCACAACTCTCCGTAAAAGTTACCCCTCACAGTTTTCTAAACCTGCGGCTTCTTCAACCTTAAGCTGTGACCAGTTGTGGGGCGAGCGTCAGCCACCTCCAGGTAAAGATAATCGACTGAACCTTAAGCTCACAGTTTACTTCTGTTATTTTGAAATTTCTATTGTGTACTTTACATTGTTTTACACTTCTATGAATGAAAGGCAATTGAAGTGATTATATGAATCACTTGCATTGCTTTTCATTTCATATTTGCTTGGAGTTTGGGGTATTTCGGTCGACTCTGGTTGTCAACACTCGTCTGCTAGTTTGTTCACAACTGATGTGCTCGACCCGATTGTACTCTCACGTCCTCAAAAAAACGTAAAACTACACCATAACACTTCATGAAAGAGGCATTCGTTGGGTATTTTTTGTTTTCACACCACACATTCCTACCACTAATCTATTATCATATTCGAATAAGACGTCAAATTATAAGATAATTTTCATCTATTACATTACCGTCGAAAATGTATAATAACGGAGATAGCGTATCCAAAATTTTCTCTATTTTCTTCCCTTAATCTAACACCATTATCGTATACCTCACCTCCCACACTGCGGGTCTCCTTCATAAATCATCACGCCCATGCGCTCCCGTACACATCACGCGGCCAATCAAAAGAGTTTTTTCTTTTGCAATCAATTAAAATTATTTTTGGTTTAATTCGCGGTATTTTTGGCCCAATCAAAATCGATTTTTATTTTGGGTCTCATATTTCCAAATTCATATTCATTTCCGACCATGGAAGTCTGCGATGGGTGTCACTTAAATTATATGGAGCTGATTGCGAGTTTTTGGGAAAAAACGAAGAAACTTTAGCATTTATTTTATCGCATGGTGTTCAGTAAAGTGTCTTAAGTGCAAGACTGACTGTATATATTGCAAAGACCAACATATGTGGCGTTGTGTAAGAATCTCAGAATCCAACGACGAACAAGAACCAGGCCAATAAGGTAAGAAATAGGTGATTCCATCATATGGTGAGAGTCAGTTAGGTTAGGTTTGGTTTTTGGTTTTCTGGTGTTTTTGGTGTATTTTTTATTCACTTAGCCATTTTTTTTTCAGAAAACGTCCCACGAAAAAAAACCCGGCCAATTTCCGACGGAAATGAAGGTCATATTCGGTCTAAACGCACACAAATACACTAGAAAAATATATTTTTGACCGGTCCGACTAATTACCCAAATGTACCCAAATATAGCCGGAATGAAGTCAAATAATGGTCCTTGATGAATATATCGGACTGCCAATCACTTCTCGACTAGTATTTGGTGTCACGAAGTAAAAAAAAATTGGTTAACTTAATTTAATCTGAGTTAATAGATCAAGTGCATGTACCTAACCTAACCTAACCTAACCTAACCTAACCTAATCTAATCTAATCTAATCTAATCTAATCTAACCTAACCTAACCTAACCTAACCTAACCTAACCTAACCTAACCTAACCTAACCTAACCTAACCTAACCTAACCTAACCCAACCCAACCCAACCCAACCCAACACAACTCAGATTAAATTAAGTTTACCAATTTTTTTTTGACTTTATGACACCAAATAATAATCGAGAAGTGATTCACAGCCCGAATTACGCTTGTACGACCATCATTTGACTTCATTGCGGCTACATTTGGGTACATTTGGGTAATTCCTCGCTCCGTCGGTACATGCACGCGATCTATTAACTCAGATTAAAGTAAGTTTTCCAATTTTTTGTGACTTTCTGACACCAAATACTAGTCGAGAAGTGATTGGCAGTCCGATTTATTCATCTAGGACCATTATTTGACTTCATTCCGGCTATATTTGGCTACATTTGGGTAATTAGTCGGACCCTTTTTAACTTCCTAACAGAGTGTGGTGCGCTTATTTAAATTAACCATTCATTGGTACCAGATATCAAAATAAGTACATTCTGTGGTCAAATTATCGTTTCAGGGATCCAGCGATTTTTTATACATATATCTATTTTTAATTTTGTTTAGACTTTAGTTTAACAAATTTATTGACAAAGCTTGGAGTACAGTTTGCCTTTTCAGAGTAATTCAGTCGGGTCTTGACACTGAGGGTGGTATCACTTCTCACTACCACGCAGGACAGAGGTTCATACACAAAATATACATCATATTCATTGACAGTATATGTAGGTCAGATTCATGTGGGTAATGTCACTGTTCACTGCCATGCAGGACAGAGGTTCGTACACAAAGAAATACATCATATTCTTTAGCAGTATATATAGGTCAGAGTCATGTGGGTGATGTCACTGTTCGCTGCCGTGCAAGACAGTGGTCCATATACACTGTACATTGGACGTCATATTCTAATTGAAGACTAATCAGTGTGAGCTAGCAAATTTGGGATAAGCAGCAAGAATGTTCCCAAGCACCCCAATTCAATACATAGTAATTACAAAGTTCATGATAAAATAAGCCAGGTGGCCTGAAGTCTTTGACAGTGTCACATTCAATAATATAGTATTCAAGTGTATGCTTTAAAGGTTTATCACAAAGTTTACATGCTGAGTGTTCCGGTATGGGTACAGCGTTACTAACTTGCCAGATGTGTCTGTATCTTAACCTAATTCTGGCCACAACTACATCACTTTGTCTGGTTCTGTCCTTATGCTGGCCATACCGGTACCTCGCGTCACAAAATTTATCATATTTACTAGTGCTACAACTGCCAGGTCTCTCTGCATTTCTCAGTTCTTCTACTGTAGATCAGAGTTCATGATTCTGACTTAAATGTTTTTAAGTACAGCATTGGGCAGGCCAAGGTCATGGCCAACATTTTCTTTCTTACATGCCTCATTGGCATGTGTCAGCACGGTCTTGATACCTAACTCCAACATGGGACGGAATCCACACAAATTCGATACGAGAGTTGTTCTCATTGGCAGTTATCACATTTCTTTTAATATCACATACAACTTTAGACATAGAACCTGACGGGCTGTTCATTGATTTCAAAGCACTTTGAGAGTCACAGAATATCACCCCACCTCCATTTTCTTTAAGGTAGTCTGTGGCTAAGTAAATTCCAGTTAGTTCAGTTTGTGTTGTGCTGGCCCAGTTGTTCAGCCTTTGCTTGTTTGACACTCATCTCTTTTTCTTTATATACAGTACAATATTAGAATTGCACAGCCTGTTCTACCTGTGTTTGTCTGTACAGAACCATCAGTAAAAGCATAATATTCACTTGATTTAATACTTTTTATGTGTCTGTTAATAGTTTCTAGTGTGACACATCTCAGTACATCGGTGTTTAACATTTGCTTACTACCAACAGGAGTGTAATTAATAGGAACTGATATATCCAGCCAAGGAGGAATGGCATTAATGGGTTCGTCTGGGGTGATTGGGACATTCAGTTTCAAGAGATCTGCAACACTTTTATGAAGCCACGCCCCAAAGAGAGAGTTTTGTGGAAGGTTAGCGAGATAGTCGGGATTACTTAGATAGAACATCAACTCAGTTTGAGCTGTAGTTTGGGGACCATTGTTCTTCAAAACCTTGACACAAAACATGGTATTAAGTAGAGCTATCCTCTCAGATAGGGAGGGCAGTCTGAGCTCTTTCCTCATGTTTACAATTCTGGTTGATTTTGGGCTTCCTAGAATGATGCGCATGGCTTCATTTTGCACTACCCTAAGGCTGTTGAGTTGTTTAGGTGGAATAGTCACAAGATGGAGAGCATGATAGTCGACTACAGAATGAATGAAGTGAAGATAGAAAGTACGAGCATAGATGATGTTAATTCCATAGCCCTTGCCAACAAGGGTTTTGAGGGGTTTAATCCGCTGCATTAGTTTGGCACGAAGGTTGCCGACAAAGTTTGCATCATTCACACAAATTCCAAGATATTTATATGAGCTACTTAGTTCCAAGGAGATGCTGTTAATGTTAAAGTCAAGAAGCAGTGGGTGAGCAGGACGAGGATTGAGGACCCTCGTCTTGTCAACAGATATTATGAGACCACATTCCACAGTCCTTCGAGCAAATACATCCAGCTAGGCTTGGAGCCTGAGCTTGGTCTGGGTCATAATGCAGATATCATCAGCATAGCATATTACAGCCTCGTTTGGCTGAACTGGAATGTCAGCAATAAGCTTGTGCATCAGTACAGTATATTAAAGAGCATAGGACTTAACACTCCTCCCTGAGGCATGCCAAGCTCAAATGATCTCATTCTGGCACTTTTGACTCCCTTAAACAGAACACTGGCATACCTGTTGGACAGATAACCCTTTATCCATGTCAGGAGGTTACCTTGGATGCCAAAATTAGCTAGTTGCTCAAGTATAATGTCTCTTTTAGTTGCATCAAAGGTTGATTTAAGGTCTATGAAGGCTGTTTGTGTCTTATCTTTTGAGTGAACAAGATATTCTGCAACATGTTTGTGTGCTATGCCCGGGCATGAACCCATACAGATTAGGGGCCAGTTTGTCTTTGACTTGAAACATGAGACGGTTGAGAACAACTCTTTCAAGGACTTTACACATACAGGATGTGAGTGAAATTGGCCTGAAGTTTGGAGAGTTAGCTTTAGGGATTGGTACTATGTTTCCATCAGATGGGTGGGGGTAAGTTGTTCCATACCTTCACACCGTGATATTTTATGGAGGTCTGGGACTGAGAGGAGTGCATGGGGGGTGGTTTAGTAGCTCTGGGTGCCTTAAGTTGTATCTCTGATTCTTCCAGAACTGGAAATAATTATTGTCAAGCAAGTGATTGATAGATTTGTAAACAAAGAGGGCACAGCAGTAGGTGTTAATATCTTCGAATTTTAACATTTTCAATATAGCAAATTTTTCGTTTGTGTGATCTGTTTTTTCAAGTAGGTCATTGTCCATACAACTCTCTTTTGTGCAGTAACCAGAGATTGTGTTTTTGAAGAGCCAGAGGCCCATAGTGTGTGACAGTGTATCAGGTGTTGGTAAACAAGATCATGATAGATTTCTTTCATTGCTGTGAGAGTGAGTGACTGTCGAGTGTGATACATGATACCACACTGTTTATTGACTTTACTGTGAATGGCTTGTATGTGGTTTCTCCAGTTAAGTTTCTCATCAACAATAACTCCGAGGAATTTAGTATTTTGTTCACGTTTGAGGACTGTATTACCAAGGTACAGGGGGTCCAAGTCTGTGGGTAACTATATTTTATGGTAACGTACTGAGGATAACACCTCAGTATTAGTAACAATGTACTTATTTCTAATGTGGTCCTTATTATAATAATAATTGATATTCAGTCAATTTGACCAAGGGCAGCAGACAAGGCCATGAGAGTTTGTTTCCAGTGGAGTCCTTATATTGGCAGCATGTGGCATTCTTAGGTTATGGCAGTCACCCATCTAAGTACAGTCATGTACCAACATTGTTTAACTTTGCTGATTGGACAAGAAGTGGTGTTTCCAACATTGTACTATCACATGCTTCAAAATGGTTGCTGGCAGCAAGTTGAAAGAAAATAGGATACAAACAGGACTAGAAGTTAAAATTTACAAAGAACAATAATAAATTTTTACAAAGAACAATAATAAATTTTTACAAAGAACAATAATAAATTTGTGACTACAGTACAAATGTGACAAACACCTAGCATAAGACAGAATAGTGGGTCTTTTACCCAATTCAGTATATGTATACTGTACCTCAGTCATAGGTAAAAATTACAAAAAGTTGATGAGTACAGGAATTATGCATGACAGTGCAGGCACTGCAGGTATTATTTGCACCCAAAACTTAGCCTAACCTCACTTCACACATTATTTGATCCCAAAATCTAACCTAACTACACTATTTGAATCCAAAATCTAATCCAGTAGGGTTAAAGAATCCTTAGCAATGATAATGAGAATTAAATAACCAAAAGAAATTTTATGTTTTCCATGGTGATTTTAAAGAATATGACCTTTATTTTCATCACTGTTGTATATTTATGAAGATATGACATTGATTTGTGGAAAGTGGGCAAGTCTTTGAAAATGAGGGAAAATGTGGGGTTAAAACAGCAAAAAATTAAACAACCATACCTCAGAGAACCAGTGATGTTAACTCCCCAGGGTGTTGTGTGAGATCATATGGAGGAAGTTTTTAAATTACTAGCTAATGACATATTAACTGGGCTTAACTTTCTCCATGGGCCTCAGTAGACTTCTTAGTTTACAAAAACCCATTTTCTATGTCCATGTTTGAACAATGACAACTGCACGACTTGGCTAAGTTCTGCTGAGCTCAAGTGGTAATGTTGACAAAATGGAAGATTATGTGGCAGTCAAGACTTTCCTTTTTCAGTGTACCCTGAACAAGTGTCTCCTGTGAAGGATGTTCTCATTTGCTTAACTTATTCAGTTGGGTCTCTGAGTACATATTATTTAATCAGTAGACCTGCCACGTAGCTACCCTATCCCAGCTTGGTTAGAAAACAGGGTTTTGTGATCTGTTCTTATTTTGGGTGGTGAACTACTGAATGTTGTTCTACCAAGGACTTTAACAGACCCCTACTAATTTGAGCTAGTACAGTAGTCTTTTACATAAAATAAAAGTTTTTTGATTTAATTTGGGAGTTCTTGTTTTAATTTAAATGGAAAATTAAATAAATTATTAGTTGTTTTTCATTTGACTAAGTTTCTAGTGTGTGATGCATTTAGTAAAATTTCTGTTCATTACAGGGTTAAAAAATGCACAGATCATTTTGTTCTCAGCTGAAAACTTATTTCATCCAGACAAAGTGCTGTAGTCTAGGAGCAGTGTCCAACATGTCTTCAGCTCAACCAAAAGTAAGCACTGATATTGAATGAATGAAAGCCATTCTCTTTTGTCGGATCACCAGTATGGCTTTCATCAGGTGAGATCTACTGGTGATCTGCTCTCCTATTGCACCCATCTTTGGTCATCCTCTCTTAGGGATTATGGGGAAACTTTCGTCGTGGCCCTCGACATCTCCAAAGCATTTGACAGGGTATGGCACAAGTCATTGCTTTCTAAGCTTCCCTCTTATGGTTTCTCTCCCCCACTTTGTTTTCTAATCTCTAGCTTCCCTGAGAACCGATCCATGGCAGTTGTTGTCGAGGGATTGATCTCTCGCTCTTTCTCTACCAGTAGTGGTGTCCCATAGGGTTCTGTTCTTTCACCTACTCTCTTCCTTCTTTTTATCAATGATTTACTTGACACTACAATTAATTCTATCCATTCTTACGCTGATGATTCTACTCTTCACTCTTCTTCACATTTTCCCCTTCCTCCTAACTCTCAACTAGATCTGTTTCTAGAGCTGATATCATTACTTCTATCAATGCGGATCTGTGCATCATCTCTGAATGGGTAGGTAGAAACTTGGTTAAATTCAATAGTAATAAAACTCAGTATTTACCAATTACACTTTCTAAATTAGATGATCTCCCACCAATTACATTTCACAACGTTATCATTCTGCCAAATTCTGAAATAGATATGCTAGGCCTCACCATTTCCTCCAATATGTCATGAAAGTCACACATCCTTAACATAGTAAAGGTGCCTCCCGAAAGTTGGGAATGCTGTACAGATGCCGTAGCTACTTCACTCCTGAGCAGTTGCTCCAAGTATATAAGGCAATGTTCGGTGGATTTGGCATCCTGTGTACTGCCGGCAAGGCCGTGGGCTCGAAGCACACGTTTTGCCCGTGGTGGATGTTGGTCACACTAGAATAAGCCGTTATAGTACATCCTTCTTTCCTCACACAGCCAAACTTTGGAATGCTCTGCTTTCTTCTGTGTTTCCATACCTATACAATGTCTCACTTTAAAAAGCTGGTTTTCCGGCATCTTCGTGGTGTAGATTAACACAGTATAACCTTTTTCTTCTCCATTTTTAATTTCTTTCTGTTCTTATTTTTTCGCCCCCTGGGCCCCGTTGTGGGTCGTTCGACCTGTGCCCAGGTGAGCTAATTCCCGTAAAAAAATAAAATAAATAAATAAAATGATGGAGAGAGAGTTTGTTTTTGCTCTTAGTTTTGTCCACCCTGTATTTCAGCAGGAAAGGGCCTTACTGTTTGTCTCATGAAAACATATACAGTATGCATATACCCTGTACTGTATACTGAAATTTGGGTGTCATATTAAGTGAACCTTTCATTATATTTTGGCAGTTTGAAATCTTGCTTTTGCACCTACTATGTTGCTCTTTTATGTGCTGCTTTTTATGTAGAATTTTTATTGTAATTGCAATAATTGTACTAACTAAGTACATGTACTGTATTGTGGGATCTCTTGTGCCTCTGCCTCTTAATGTGATAATCTTTACCACATGTCACCTAATTTCTCATTGAGTGCTTTCACAGGTTTCTTTCAGGACATATATTATGTTCTGCCTCAATTTCTTAACGTGTAGCATTTGCTTCTTGAGTGTTTTAGGATAGTTTCTCATCAGAGCGTGGGAAATGGTCTTATCTGGAATCACTGTGGTTCAGTGTTTTCCTTGTTTGCATGAGTTAGTCATGATTATCTGATGGCATTTTTAGGGGTAAAACCGGAATGGAATGTCTCTTCCCCTCCTCAATCACCATAAACCCTGGGTGCTAACCCAGAATATGTACAGTACTGTATTAGAGAACGGAGGAAGGGTACAGGTCTGGTGACTGGATAGAGGATACCCTTCCTAACATGAATCCACAGGGTGGGAACAGCTGGCAAGGCAGGGTCACAACTCCTTGAAGTAATCAAAGACTACCTGCCCACCTCAACTATCCACTTACTGTTATATTATTTTTACACAATATAATAAACATTATACAGTATTAGGTATAACATACACCTAGTACCTTTACACCTTCCCTTGGGCAGGAAATGAGATGTCCAAGTTCAGTCCTTTATTTTATGTGTCAAATGTTTTTTAGAGAAGGATTGTGATATTTTCACTAGAGGAGAGTTTTATGTGCCTTCCTTATCTTGTCTTTTGGGGGGAGGGGGGTGTCAATAAAGGGGTTCTTAGCTCATACATATAATTATATGTTGAAGTTGTTTGAATGAATTTTGCTCCAGTGGAGGCATATGTGCTCTACAAACATAAGATTATTTTTTTTTTTTTTTTAGTTACTGAATAATGATTTTCTTAATAAGGGTGTGGAGATGGTGGTGGAGCCAGTTTCATGTCTCCATGATGAACCAGTGAGCATCAGAGTGCATGGACTTAATCCAGGCCAGGATGTTACTCTGCAAGCATCTATGAAGGATTCCAAAGGGATTAACTTCCTTTCTTATGCCCATTATAGGTATGTTACATTATGCAATTTTTTAAACCACATACAGGTATTTATGTGCAATTTTTAAGAACAGTGCGTGATAAATTGTTTGTAGTCTTTTCATCCAAAAAACAAGTATGAATTGTATTCATCATCCAAGAAGCTTCTCTGTTCCACTACTGAATTCCAGTATGAGTCAGGGCAGGTATACATTTGAATAATTTTAATGTAGTTAAAGTGCCTATTTATACCCATTGTTGTTGGCAGCAATTTTTTTTTTTTTTTTAACCAATAGATTTCATCTCTCCGGTGATTCAGAAAATGACACAACAGAGGCGTCCACAATAGCACAATCAATACCACTTTTTTTTACGGGGATTAGCCCGCCAGGGCACAGGTCACTGACCCACATCGGGGCCTGGGGAGCGAAATTGTAATAATTATTCATAGTAAATAAAAATGTTAATAAAAAGTAAAATAAAATAATAATGATAACAATAATAAAAATAACACTTATAATAATAATAAAAAAGAACTAAAAAGAAATACAAAAATGAAAGAAAAAGATCAATAGTAGTGAGAAACGATATATGTATGTTGTGTTGTCAATGGTAAGAGAAACAATTGAGACCCTGCAATTGTGTGTAAATGAGGCAGAAAGTCAGATCAGCAACCTGGGACTTGGTCATAATTTTCGTGATGCCATATGGCAGCAGGGTCTACCATTAGACAACACATTATGCTTCCAATATCTTCCTTATTTAACACTCACTCCATGGCTTATTTAACACTCACTCCATGGCTTATTTAACACTCACTCCATGGCTTATTTAAACTCACTCCATGGCTTATTTAACACTCACTCCATGGCTTATTTAACACTCACTCTATGGCTTATTTAACACTCACTCCATGGCTTATTTAACACTCATTCCATGGCTTATTTAACACTCACTCCATGACTTATTTAATCTATTAACATTTAAGCAGTGGATAAAGGTTCCCTAATCCTCCCCATATACACAAAAACTGGAATTAAAGAAGCATGGAAACATCTGTTGAGGTTGGATGCTGTTTAAAATTGAAGGTCAGCTAACATCACCAGAGGTTATTTGTTACAAAATGGCAGCTGACAACATATGAGGTTTCAACTTTTACCCCCATTTTTTTCCCTACCATCACTTATGGGAAGGGAGTTAGTGAGGGATTTAAGAGTTGATCTAACTTTTCCTCTTCAAAATTCACCTTTCTTAAAAAAAGATACTGGAGATGGTGATAACATTTGTTTAGACATTGGAGGGGTGGGGGTGTTGGTGGTACATTACATTGATAATGTGCTGATCTCTGACCTTCCAAATTATGTCATACTTTTATCCTCTTCGCCACTTAACTCCTCGTTAGCTACTTGGGCAATCGGTCACGTCTCTGTTATGCACTGTTGGCAAGTACTAGGCATGCACTGGCTCCTGGATGTATCTGAACCTGCTCCAGTGCTGGTCAAGTCTGGTCTTGAAACAGCTCACACTCGGTGCCGTTACAACTTTCTCTGGCAGGTTGTTCCATGAGTTCACAACTCTCGCTCTGAAAAAGTTCACCCTAGCAGATTTCTGGACTTGCGGCATCTTCAACCTTGAGCTGTGTCCCCTTGTGGGGCTAGCATCCGCCAACTCTAGGTCAGAACACTTGACTGAGTAGTGCCCTTTTAGATGTTTATACACCTCAATTAGGTACCCCCTTGCCCATCTGTAGTATAAGCTAGGCAATTGCTGGCACTCTAATCTCTCTGGGTAGCTGAGGTGCCGAAGTGCTGGCACCAGTCTGGTGGCCCTCTTTTGGACATTTTCAATCAGCTGACAGTCCCTAGCATATCTCGGGGATGAGACGAGGTGACAGTACTCCAGATGGGGAATCACCTCGCTCTCGAAAATCATTACGAGGGACAGACCATATAGATATCTGATTATCTGAACGACCTTATGAGACCTAATAATTTAGTTGCTTGGTTGGCCTTCTTCTCACAATGGCCCACGAACTTCAGTTCATTGTTAACATATACACCTAGGTCCTTTTAGCATTCAGTCTTAACCCCTATGCCCCTGGCTAGGGTGCCGCTGGCCGTACCCCCCACTCACGGTAAATCAAGAAAAATCAACTTTTCCAAAAATAATTTTTAACGTTTTTAAATGATAAAACAAATAAAAAGAAGTAATAAAAACTATATATTGACCCTCATATCATCCAAATATTTAAAGATCCAACAGTTTTTTAACATCTTTTTAAAAACTTTTTAATGGTACCTTGATCCATCAATTAGCACACTGGCCTAACGTTACCTGGCAAAAACACTGCCCAGATGATACAAGACCATTTTCTATCATGTGAACAGAAGCATTATCCATGACTATAATTCTCTCTCTATCTCTCTCTCTCTCTCATTTATTTATTTATTTATTTATTTTAGACTTTCCAAATTCTTTTGCAAAATCAAAGGTAGATCCTGGCAAACTTTTCCGATAATGCAGATTGATTATTATCCTAAAACTTGTTATCCAAACTAGCATGCTAGTTATGAAGATTTTTTTTTTTTAATATATAGAACCGTGAATATTATTTCCATAGTACAGGATGTAGATTAGTGTTTTCCTATTGCAAATTCATAGATGGTTTATCACAGATTTAGGAAAAATTTGAAACTGGCATGGAAAAGTCCTGGAATTTTCATACTAGATTTTTCCATTGCATGTTAAAAGTTAGTTATCTTTGTGTCACTCAAGTGCATGAGGAAGAATTTATATAAAACCTTCACCTTGTCAGGTAAGTGGTATTCATAAGTGACTGTCCTTATCCAATGGAATTTCCAAAATAATGGCCCTACGAAATTACATGTTAGTGTGTTACCAGTATTGTATTTTATTTTATTTTATTTTTTTACTAAAACATGAACATTAATTTCCATAACAATCCTGCTGTTTGTAGGGTCTAGTACAGTAAACTGCCCCTCAGTACAGCTGGGTGTGATCTTACAATTGCCCATCCCTTCCTCTACGTACTGTTGCCCTAAAAAGGAAAAATAATTAAAATGTACTTTCTAGAGGCAAAATGTTTAAGACGGTTCTTTTTACATAGTCAGTGTACACATTGTGCCAACTCTGTGAAGAATTCTTGATTTCAGCATCAATCTGCTATTTCTTATTTGGTTACCAGATGACTCAAACCTAAGGGTTATAATATATAAAGATACATAATTTAGTAATACTGGGGGTCACCGGGTAACGAACGGGTTCCGTTCCTGAGGACGCTCTTAAGTCTGATTTGTACACTCGCACCAAAAAGTATCGGTGCAGGGTGAGATCGAAGACTTCCGAAACGATACGTATACACTGTGATATGTCGGGAAGGTTGGTAAGTGTATCCTCATAACCCCCCCCCTCCACTAGGTGTTGCCATATGGCTAACAATCAGTGTGTTTGTTTCCTCTTTTCGGATTGTTGCTTTGTGTCGACTGAATGATGAGCGAGGGCTCGGTCTCGGTGAACGTGGGTATAAAACGGAGGCAATATGAAGCAGTACTACTGGCTGCAGTAGAGATCTACACATGCCAGACAACATGGAAACCTCAAAGGGAACACGAGGAGCTATTATTGCCCTTCATAACGAAGGGTTCGGCGTCACAGATATTAGCCGGAGGGTTGGTGTCCACAGGAACACCGCTGCACGATGGATTCGGCGATACCACGAAACTGGTACTACAGACGACGGGGGGGTTGAACAATTGGCAAATAAGCCTTTACCTACCGGAAATTATTATCAAAGGGCCCGTAAAGTATTACATTTTGATAACACAATGTTCAGTATACAATGACATTATGAAACGGATCAATATGTGGGTGCTTCTATACAGTGGTCCCTCGGTTAACGAACACAATCCGTTCCAGCAGGTTGTTCGTTAACCGAAACCATTGTTTCAATGGGTTTTTGGGTAATTGGTTCCAGCTCACCGAAAATTGCCTAAATTCAACAAAAATGGTAGAAAAGTTCACTTACTTTGAGGTGTGTATGTAGAAGGCTCCTGGATAATGATGATGATGATGATGGGAATTAGAATGGGGGTGGAGGAGGAGGAAGAAGAGAAGGCATTGGGGTGGAAGAGAAGTTCACCCCATGGCACCATTTCACCCATAAAATTTTAGTTCTCTTGGTGTATTTCAAGATTATTTTCTTTAAATCAACACTGCACTGCATTATATATTGTCAATATGTAAAATATATTTCAAAATGACCAATAATTTGCTTGGAAACACCGAAAAAAAGCGTTTAGTTGAAGAGAGTCTCAAGCAAGATGTTACCTCCAGTGAAAACAGAGAGAGACTAACGCCTGTTTGCTGTGTTACGAGGCTGGATGTCGCGCATTAAACTAGTCACTTTACCTTCAATTATGTTCAATAATTGTTAAAATGACTAACAAATTGAATATTAAACTTTTAAAATTATTGAATAGTATAAACTTCTTGATATTTACTAAAATAGTAAGGAATTTAAGCCCTAGAACCGATTAATGTATTGGCGGACTAATACTAAAGCTGGTTGACCGGCCAGTGCAAGCAAAAACATGTTGAGGTCGGTTCGTAAGAAATTCGTTAACTGAATTTTTTTTCGTTAACCGAATTTAAGAATCTTATGGGAGGCAGTTCGTTAACCGAGGGACCACTGTATTGATATTTGTGAGATTCGAAACTTGTGGAATGAGACAGACGAAATATATCTCCAAACATTAACGGTCGCAGCTCAGCAGGATTACAGGGTTGCCAACATACGGCTGGAAGAACTCGCCTTTCCCAAGACCTGTCGTCACTGGTCTCAAATTGTTCAAACTACAGTATGCACCGATACTTTTTGTTGCGAGTGTACATAAGTTGGAACACATTTTATGTGCATATCGTACTTACAGAACAATGTTTAAAATCCCACTGTATCAGAGCCTAAGTCCTTATATACATCTAATATCTCTTAATGTAAGACAAAAGAAGAAATAGAATAACAAAACACAGTAAACGAAAGTCAAAATTAAGTCATCGGGCAAATAAAATACCTGTAATATTAATTTTAAGATTAAACCCGTTCGTATCGGCGGGCTCTCCTAAGGCAGATGTTCGTAATTCGGGAACCCCCTGTATTTTGGAGAAATAGGGTTTATAGAATCGTAATATAGGTGACAATTATATTAATATTAATTCCAACAGAGCAGACAGCAGTGGACAAGTTGACGTGAGTAAATTGGAGTCTTTGGGTGGTCACTACAAGGGAATTTTTCCAATGGGGCTCATTGGCAGCCTTGTACCAGCACCTAATGAATACAAATATACTCGCTTCTTCAAGAGGGATGTGGAAAACCCCAACATTGTAAGTGTGAAAATTTTCCTCTAAGTAAAAGATGATTATTATAGTACAGGTTGTACCTCTCTAGTCCGGCAACCTCGGGACCTGACCGGTGCCGGACCATGGAAATTCACCCTTTTCCTGGATAGATAGTGACTTATGCTTATGCCTGGAAGCACTAGCACCACTTTCTCTGCGTCATGGTCTCTTTGAAGACATATTGAAGGGTTAAATGTCGTATAGTAGCTTCTCAAATTTCGCGAGTTTTTAATTCTTAACGTATTTTATTGGAACACACAAAAAAATAAATAAATAAAAATTTTAACGGCGGAAACTTGAATTTCGACGGGTTTGAACAGCCCGCCAACGTGCAGACGACGTGCATAATCGTGTAAACAGCGTCATTTCTCTTACAAAAGATTCATTATTGTTAATTACTGAATGTCTTTTTTATTGAATTAATGTTTGTGTGTGCAAAATGAGCAATAAAATTCATTAATAATACGTAGAATATTAAAACACACGAAGAAATGACACAACATTGTTTTCGTTGATTACAAAACCAGTGACTGACTGGTTCTACATATAAAACTGAAGAAAATAAGACCTTGGTTGTAGCTGTAGTAAAATTAATATGGTTGTTTTAAATAATGTTATTTAATGTTAATAAATGGAACAATAGAAGTAGCTAACGATAATGGTAAAGAAAAAGAGAGATCGCATATGTAAGTGCGCATGCGCACACGTGAAAACATATCGTCATTACTTTACATAAGAATATGAAAGCAACACTTATTTACTGTTCATATATATTTTAATTAATGTTTCTGAATTTGTTTTTATTGAATTAATGTACGTGTGTGCAAAATTAACAATACAATTTATTAATAATACGTGGAATATTAGAGGAGACGAGACGGCTGCCGGCATTGTTTATGTTAAAGCTTACGAAACCAGTGACTGATTGGTTCTACATATAAAACTGAAGAAAATAAGACCCTGAGTTTAGCTGTAGTAAAATTAATGTAAAAAATGAATATGGTTGCTTGAAGTACCTGTAATGTTATTTAATGTTAATAAATGGAACAATATAAGTAGCTAACCATTAATGGTAAAAAAAAAAGTGAGACTGCTCGTGTGTAAGTGCGCACATATGAAAATTTATCGTCATTACTTTACATAAGAATATGAAAGCAACACTTATTTACTGCTCATATATTTATTGAAGGGTTAAATGTTGTACTCTGTATAGACAAGCAGAGAGAGAGAGAGAGAGTGCAGCCGAACTGCCGGATGTAAACAAACCTTAATTTCCCGCGGCTATTTTTTTTTTTTAAGGGGATTAGCCCACCCGGGCATAGGTCACTGACCCACATTGGGGCCTGAGGGGCAAAAATTTAATACTCCTGTAATAATAATAATAATTCAGAGAAATAAAAAAAAAAAAAAAAAAAAAAAGCTGCCTATCTACCTATTGGACAAACTAAAATCGTTCCGGACCACGGGAGTTTCTGGACCAAAGAATGCCGGACTAGAGAGGTACAACCTGTACTGGCATACCCTGATATACAAAAGGATTACGTTTGTAATAAAGCTTTCATAGATAAATATTATGTAGATCGATGCACATTTTCACATAAACTCCCGTTACACCGGGTGTTTCGGAAATGCATTTTATTATTCTGGCGGAGTATTCCTGAGACATGCATAAGATAAATTAATTCATGACCATACTATCAATACCTCATAGTTTGGAGTTGTAACACATGACAGTTGGGGTTGAAATGTGATAAAATCTACCAAGTATAAATGAAATATCCAGTGTTGTGAGTACAATTTATTACAATCCATACGATATGATATTAATTTTACAGTAAATGTTCAAAGTTCCGGTCCAGATGACTATCATATGTGTTCGAAGACTCCAGGGGTGTTGCAAATACTTTTGGCACTGTCTTGCACTCGACGCCACAATTTCTCACGAGTTAATACCTCTGTAGCATACTTACACTTTGCTTTTAATGTGACCCCACAAGTAGAAGTCAAGGGAATTTAAGTCAGGTGATCGAGGTGGCCATGGAACAGGGCTGCCACACTGTATTCACCTGTCAGGATAACTGACGTATAGGAATTCCGTTGTTATTTTAACAAAATGAGCTGGGGCACCATCATGCATGTACCACAGTTGTTGATGTATCCTGATGAACACATCCTACAGCATCACTGGCAAAGTGTCCTCAAGAAAATGAGTGTATGTTTTACCTGTCAGTCACTAGGGTAGCAGATATGGGCCAGTAAGGTAGTCACCAATAATTCTGGCCCAAACATCGATTGCAAATTGTACCTGATGAGATGTATGTGTCATTGCATGTGGATTGTCAACAGGTCAAGTATGCATATTGTGCACATTGACTATGCCATTCCTTGCGAACGTTGCTTCATCTGTTAAAAGCACCAGAGATGGAAGTAAATGGTTTAGAGCATGCTGCCTTACCAACCATTGACAGAACTGCAGCCGCCGAGGATACGTAGTTATTTTGAATTTGAAGGTGGAAGGGATGAAGCTGATGTTTGTGTAGGGTCTTCTAAACGGTAGACACCGACACCTGCACATCAACGGCGATTTATCTATTACAGTGAACCCTCACTTTACGCGGTTAATTCAACCCACAGGGTACTGTGGAAAGTAAGAAACACGTAAAGTGAACAACATAACATATGGGATTAAATGAAATAGAGACCGGCTGACCCCCAAACTCCACTTTTTCCGACACAATACCTATGTTCTCGTAAAAATAACATCTTAATTTTATGATGGTACATGCACACAATTAATACTTAAGAGAAATAGAGAAATACAGTCGCCAAGTTAATGTCCATTCAAATAATGGACTCAACTCCCTCCCCCTCTTCTCACACTACACTCGCTGGCTCTTCCCTCTCTGAGAAATTTTGGGGGAAAACCACTAGATTTTAAGGTATAGTAATAAATAATACCTCAAACTAAAGTTAGGATAATATAATTGACATTGCTGGATTCCTTGTAAGACCAGGAATATTTTGAATATAAATGTCATATATTTTGCACAAAAGATAACATATTTACTCAGAGTAAACAAAATACTTACATTAGATCTAAAATTTGTATGTCTAATGCAAAATCTATGATGTTTATATTCAAAATGATCATCAAATTGTAAGAATTCCAGCAATGTAAATTATATTCTGGCCGGGTAATTTGTATGAATTTTATGAGCTAAAACAAATATCTTCAGTTAATAAAAAAAAAAATATTCTTAAGACACTATCTGTCAATCAAAGTACCCCACCTTGCCTCCCCCCCTCTTCCAACCGCGCCAGATGGTCGGTCGGTCCCTCCCTCCCCACCAACCCTCCCTACCAGATAAATGTGTGGGAGAAACCAGAATATTTACCTTTTTAGTAATAAATAATACCTCAGACTAAAGTTAGGATAATATAATTGACATTGCTGGATTCCTTGTAAGACCAGGAATATTTTGAATATAAATGTCATATATTTTGCACAAAAGATAACATTTACTCAGAGTAAACAAAATACTTACATTAGATCTAAAATTTGTATGTCTAATGCAAAATCTATGATGTTTATATTCAAAATGATCATCAAATTGTAAGAATTCCAGCAATGTAAATTATATTCTGGCCCGGTAATTTGTATGAATTTTATGAGCTAAAACAAATATCTTCAATAAATAAACAAAATATACTTCCGAAATACTATCTGTCAATCAAAATACCCCACCTCCTCCCCTCTTCCCACCTGCTCCCTGGGTCCCTCCCTCCCTCTCTACCCCTCACCTCCACCTTCCCTCCCTACCAGAGAAATGATTGGGTTATAACAGTATATTTACATATTTAGTAATAAATAATACCTCAGACTAAAGTTAGGATAATATAATTGACATTGCTGGATTCCTTGCAAGACCAGGAATATTTTGAATATACACTTCATATATTTTGCACAAAAGATAACATATTTGCTCTGAGTAAAGAAAATACTTGCATTAGATCTAAAATTTGTATGTCTAATGCAAAATCTATGATGCTTATATTCAAAATGATCATCAAATTGTAAGAATTCCAGCAATGTAAATTATATTCTGGCCGGATAATTTGTATGAATTTTATGAGCTAAATAAAAAAATTATACTTCACCCTCGTAAAGGGATACATGCACCGCGGAATGTGAGCATCCTGGGTTCTGGCAGGGCACCGCGTAAACGTGGGAACGCGGAATGTGGGACCGCGTAAAGCGAGGGTTGACTGTACCTGTCCCAGGATTATCCGCTCCTCTGCTTCGAGTATGTGCCTGAATTGTGGTCTCCCTCTGTCAATTGCAACTACACGAAATTAAAAGGTACCATTTTCTCGTAACCGACGATCAGGAACGAGAAACGTTGGACTTGAAGGCATCCTACAGTCTGGATATTGTTTCCTTTACAGCAATACATAAGAGCATTGAAAGTCAAATTAAAGCATTGAAATTATATTTCCACAACTTTTAAGGTTTCTTATGTAAACAAACACTGTGACAGCCTGTGCTCAGTTGAGAATTATGAATATTTGACTGAAATTTAAGAAACGGGTAATATCTGTATCTCATTAAGCGTTAATTCACTTAAATTCAGTTTAGCAATAGAAAATTTTTGATACCCTTTCTTACTTAACATAAAGTAAAAATTCAGTTTAGCAATAGCTTGACTCACTGGTCTGTGAGATGGCATGTTGCCTCTGTTACATTAATGAAATAAAAAATTGTGGGATAAGCATTGCAATACAGGTGTACCTCGATAACCGATGCATATAGGGACCTGGAAAAGTCGTTGGTTAGTGAATCAATGGTTATCGAAGCAATTAATTCCATAAGAATACCCCCTGTATAACAAATTCCGGGGTTTAGGGACCGGCCACCCTCCAAAAACTCCCATCTACCCTTCATATATCTCTACTGCACACTGTCAAGCAAGAAAATAAAGCAGACA